CCACAGTCGGGTCTGATGGGGTCTCGCTGGGCTCCGCAGGGTCAGGTCTGACAGGGTCTCGCTGGGCTCCCCACGGTCAGGTCTGATGGGGTCTCTCTGGGCTCCCCACGGTCGGGTCTCACAGGGTCTCACTGGGCTCTCCAGGTCACACCAGCACATGGTTTCTAGAGACACCAGAAGGAAAATTCCTTTCCTGCCACCCCAGGTTTATCTGCTTGCTGGTGGCCAGATGGAGGGTGGGTAGTCCTCCCCTTTGGGGACATGAAGATAAAAGACTGCTCTCGGCCCCCAGAGACCCTGGTGGAGCGCGCAGGACCCTGGGGAAGGCTCGTGGTTGGGGCCGTGCCTGTTTCGAGTCGTCCTTGAGTAGCTGGGGGCATGTGTCTTCTACACATAGGCTGATGAATTGGGTTGGAGAAACGAGCGAGGGGGCGCACAGGGAAGTTCAGAGACCTGAGTCCCGTCCCCCGTTGCTGAGAAATCCCTTCAAGCTGCGTCTGGCCTGCCCTCTATGCTCTCCTGCCTGGTCTGCCTCCTTCCCTCCAGTGAGCCTGAGGTCTCCTCACTGACACCCACACATCTCCTGGCAGCTTTGTGCAGAAGTTCCCCCAGGGGACCCCAGATCAAGGGTGCAGCCCCCCCAATCCACACGCCTGTCTCCTGGCAGCTTTGTGCAGATGTCCCCTCCCCTGGGGGACCCCTGATCAAGGGTGCAGCCCCCCATCCACACGCCCGTCTTCTCTGCAGCATTCCCACCGCCGCACGCGTTCTGCTTCCTCATGATGTTTCTCTCTTGCTCCCCCAAGAAAGGCGGCTTCGTGACGCAGGGGCTTCACCAGCTCTGTTCACCACAGCAGCCTCCGTGCCTGGCCTGGCGGAGTCAGGCGCTGGGTGGAGTGCAGGGAGGTTGATTCTGTACCTCCCAGCTTGGTCTGGCAGAGACCCCAGGGCCTGCAAAGTTACCTGACTCACATGTGCCTGGTTTTCTCGTCTGTAAAATGGGAGTTGCTGGGGGCTCAATGGGGGGCACTTAGAAGTGTTCACAGCCTTGGAGGGGCTAGTGGCCCCTGCAGCATTTGCCAGAGTGCCCTGTGCTCCACGCTTGTCCTTGCTGCCAGCCACAGTCACGAATCCCCGCAGCACCTGTGTGTTTCTCCGTGTGCTGAAATCGCGTCCCATGGCACGGCCTCCTCCACAGCAGGCGAGCGTCTGAGGCACATGCTGGGTGGCTTTCGGCGCGTCAGCCAGAGCTTTGAGCGTGTCCTGTGGTGACCAGAGGCCCCAGTCCTGCCGGGAGCCCCAGGGAGCACGCTGTGGCCTCTGCTGAGCAGTGAGGCTGGAGGGCTCCTGCGTCCTCCCATGACTGAACAGTCTCTCGCGGTGCTGACTGCTGAGCCCCCATGCCAGCCCTCCCAGGACACTTAGAGGCTTCTCCTGCGGAGCTCCCGGTGACTCCACAGAGCACTCTGCACGTTTCTGTGGCCCCGCTCCGCCCTCTGGCTCTGCTCCACAGCCTCCTTCACCAGGTCATCCTCTCAGCTCCACCCAGGCCCTCTCCCCACCTTACTCCCCTCCCCAGACCAGCTCCTGAGACCCAGGCCACAGGGACCCTTGCCCTTGCCTCCAGACCCAGATGCCCAGCCCCGTGTCGACATTCCACAGAGGTGTCCTCGGGCTAACAGGACTGAGGAGCCCTTTACAGGACATGTGGGCAGGGCCCACGCACCCGGGCACACACACCTGTGCCCTGCCTTTGAGCTTTTCCCACCCTAAAAGGAGCTCCTGGCTGCCCACCTCCTGTGTTGAGGCTCTCACAGCATGAATGCCTCTGAGCCAAAGGAACCGTCCAATCCACCGTGGTGGAAGCGCTCACGCCCAGCCGACTCGGCGGGCCTGGGCTGGACCCCTCAGTTACTCACAGGTTTCCGTAAGGGGTCGGGGAGCATTGGCCTTGCTTTAGCAGTGGTAGCATGTGCTTCCCACAGCTGACATGGGAGCCTTTCCAAGGTGAGAATCGCTTCCTGGCCAGACTGCCAGACTGCAGGCTTCCCAAGGACAAGAATACCTGAGATTCACCTGTGTTTTCTTCAGGTGCCTGTGGACGCTTGACACGCCCACTTTGGGGCAGTCTGTGGACAGACCCCCGTAATTTACAGTCACCGCTGAGCTTGTCATCACAGCAGAAAGCTGAGGTTCTGGGGGCGGAAGCCACCAACAGACCAGCCTGGGAGACACGCCCCGTGGCGGGGCTGTGTGGAGACGTCCGTCCCGACTTAGGTTCTGTGTAGAAACAAACGTCTGCCGTGAGACCCCTGCTCAGCGCCCGCCAGTCTCTCAGCAGCTGACCTGGGATGTCTTTCTCTCATTGTCTGAGGCCAGCTGCGCGCTCACACTGGGCTTATAGAAACAGGAGGCCCCGTCCTCGGCCGTCCGGGGTGGGCTGTCAGCACGTCGTGTGGTCAGGTGTCAGGACAAGCGGGCGTGAGCGCGTGGAGGTGCACCCACCTCCACCCTGGAGAACGGATGTGCTGCAGCTGTGCACGGCATGATCAAGCACTTGCTGTGTGGACAGCACACCTGCCAGTGGCCAGCTGGGGACTGAGGGCTGGAAGCACTTGCCCGGCTCCTCTCTCTGTAGGTTTGATCATTGGCCTTGCAGCTGCCCTGGGGCTTGCAGATTACAGTTTGATGGACCAGGCACTTTTCATCTCTTACATAGTCAGGCAGTTTGTATTTGGGAGGGAAAAAGACAAATGAAAGCATTTTTTTAAAGTGAGCTGAAGGCATTTTGATCAATTGGAGAGTATCATATGATACTTTTCCTAGTCAAGGAGCATTTCTCCTTCATTTTATAGGGTTTTCTCCTTCCCTTTTAAAAGCTTAAAGCATCAAGTTTTACTCGTGGTTTCTATTTTGTTTCAGTAGAGTAGAAAAACTGTAACTAGGTCTAAATGGTAGACAGAAAATACATTTCCAGCAGGTCAAAAGCGTGGCCCTGAGTGGTTGGCAACCCTCTGTTCCAGGGGCTGGCGTCGGGCTGGCACCCCGGGCTGCCTGCTCCCCTGCAGTGCACATGGCTCTTTGCTGAGGTGGTGGGAACTGCAAGCCGCCATCTTCTAGATGGGTAACGCTAAAAACTGTTAAGCTGAAGTCAAGGTGGTACCGTGTCTAAGCCACAGCTTCCTGCGCGCTATCTGGGTAGGATGGGGCCACGGCCCACTTAGCCATGAAGCTTCCTGCAGAGTCTCTTCAACTTTTCCCAGGTGTTGCTGTCACCAGGGGGTGTGTCGAGGATAACTTGGGGTCCACCTCCCTGTGGGTTCCCCGCCCGTGGGACTAGATGCCAAGTGGTGACCAGCGGTACGGGATTGGGGGACCCGCCTAAGGAGCCTGGGCCTGGCAAGGAAACAGAGGCACCAGGGCCGCCCACAGGGAGATCCCAGGGTCTGAGTGTTTGACCGGAGTGCATGGCAGGCTGAGGTGAAGGAGTGTTTGGAGAAGCCAGGAGGAAGAAGGGGCCCTCCAAGGCCTGAGATGGCGAGCCAGTGAGGGGCTGAGGTGAGGCTGTGGAGGGGTCGGCCTGAGCTCCCTGCCGGAGACAGTTGCTGGGAGCACGAGGTACCAGGCACCTCTGGCCAGAGACAGCCCCGTCCTTGGCCCTTCGTGGCTGTTGACGCCCTTTCCTGAGCAGTGAGCACTGAAGCAGGATCCGCTTACAGGACACCCTCAAGTAGCACCTGGCGGAGCTGCTGGGCTGACAGGACTGAGGAGCCCTTTACGAGACATGCGGTGGGGCCCACACACCCAGGACACACGCCTGTGCCCTGCCTTTGAGCTTTTCCCACCCTAAAAGGGGCCCCTCGCCGCTCACCTCCTGTGTTGAGGCTCTCAACAGCATGAATGCCTCTGAGCCAAAGGAACTGTCCACCATGGTGGAAGCGCCCACACCCCGCCCACAGTGGATTTTAGAGGCGCCTGGCTTTGTGTCAGCAGTGCCCTGAACGTCTGCACACTGGCATGCTTGCACGAGCGTCTGCGCAGTCAGCACAGGCTGCCCCGTGAGTGCTGGAGGTCATGCTTAGGGAGACCAGGCAGCCGCGAAGTGGGACTTGCGGAACAGAGAGCACAGACAGGTCAGCTCAGCACTCGCTGCTGCTTTTGCGGTGAGGCCACAAAGCCAGAACTTAGATTCTGGAAGGCCCGGCCTCTGAGGGTCTGAGGGTCTGAGGGCTGCCCCCTGGGCCCTTTCTAACAGGACTTGATCAGAGGTCATGGATGAGGCATGGAAAGTGCCCAAATAATGGAATTTATCATTTTTCAATAATCGCAGACTCACGGGAAGTTGCTTTGAGGAAGAGATTTATGTAATGTGTTGGTGGGTTGAAAACTAGGGGAGTACATTAACGTACTTCGAGGGGTGGCTCTTCCGAGAATGCTGTCTTTCCCTGTGGATTTGCTCAGCAAACCCCGCTGGGCCAGTGTCCCCAGACCAGACGGACTGACGTGGTCCTCCACACAACAGCAGGGAGAAAAGCTCAGAACTTGTATTTATGTTTATTTGTATCTCGCCCTTTTGTGATTTTCTGTTCATTGTTTGTATTTTATAATGCATGTGATATGGTAGCACATGGATATGTAATTTTTAAATATCTGTGCAAAGTCTGGGAGTGCATTTTTCAGAGCTGTTTTACAGACAACGGTGGCAGACGGTGGCACTGCTGAGCAGTTGGGGCTGCAGCTCATGTCCCCTTGGGCGCCTCCATGCCTTGTGGAGACGCAGACCTCTGCCCATCCCAGACCAACCACATCCAGATTTCTGTGGGGAGGGACTCCAGAGTGGCACTTCCAGCACACACTGTAGGTGATTTTAATATACAGTCAAATTTTAGAAGCATTTCTGGAGAGCTCAAGGTGCGTGTATGGGACGTGGTGGCCCTCACCCATCCTTCTGTTTACTCTGCTTCATTTTTCTTTTTTCTTTTTTTTTTTTTTTTGAGACGGTGTCTGGCTCTGTCGTCCAGGCTGGAGTGCAGTGGCTGGATCTCAGCTCACTGCAAGCTCTGCCTCCCAGGTTTACGCCATTCTCCTGCCTCAGCCTCCCGAGTAGCTGGGACTACAGGCGCCCACCACCTCGCCCGGCTAGTTTTTTGTATTTTTTAGTAGAGACGGGGTTTCACCGTGTCAGCCAGGATGGTCTCGATCTCCTGACCTCGTGATCCGCCCGTCTCAGCCTCCCAAAGTGCTGGGATTACAGGCTTGAGCCACCGCGCCCGGCCTACTCTGCTTCATTTTTCTTCATGAATTTGTCTCTTCTTGACATGTTATGTATCTGGTGTCTCCTGCCTCCTTCACTAGAACACAGCCTCCAAGGAGGCAGGATGGGTTTTCCCGTCTCCCGGGCATCTGGAGAGGCACCTGTCCCAGCACCATAGTGACTGGATGTGTGTGCGGAAGAAGGAACGCGGTGCCCTCTAGTCCAAGGGCAAGAGCTACTGGAGTCTCTTTGAAAGTAAAAGTGTTGTTACACGCGTGGTATGTAAGTGGCATGTGCTAATACACATTTTCTTTCTTATTAACAGCAGTTCAGCACTGAGTCATGCTTGCTTCTGCTACGCGCTGATTTGTTCTATTCCAGTTTCCACATATATTGTTTTGGTGACATCTCTGCGTTATCATTTATTTATATGGAGCGTATTTTCTCCAAAACTTCTCTACGAGGGAATGCATCTACTCATTACAGCTGCTGTCTGTGTATTCTTCACGGCAATGGATCAAACCAGACTCACACAGTCTTAGACTAAGCTGAACACTGGAAAAATAATACATGCTTAAAGTCTGCTGTTATTCTAAAATGAAAGATGTGAATTCAACAAAGTTGATGAATAACTAATTTCTTTGACTACTGTACTTGAATTTAGACTAAGTAGTAAATCGTCTAATAAAATGTCACTTTAATATACAGTTTGTATCATATTTCCCCTATTGACAATCACTCTGGAAGCTTCTGAACTTTTAATTTCCTCTGAATAAGCTGTGGTATGACCCAAATATGTGTGTTTAAATCAATGAATGAAAAGGTTCTGGCCTTTTTTAGAGAGTCCAGGAGCTCTGTGGGAGGAGGCACTGGATTACCTTACGGAGCACTGAGCTCTTAGAATCCTGCAAACCACTGAGGGCCCCAGGGAGCTTTGGTTTATGAGGGTTACAGGTATCAGTGTTGATGGCATTTGAGATGAAAACTAAGATAAAAAAATGACTCATTTATAAATAATCTTATTGCATATTAATATAATACTTGAAGGAAAAATAACTATATTTTCCAAAACAAAAAAGTTCAGCGAAACCCAGCACTTTGGGAGGCCAGAGTGGGGGGAATCACTTGAGCCCAGGTGTTTGAGATCAGCCTGGGCAACATAGTGAGACCCTCATGTCTCCAAAAACTTCAAAAATTAGCTGGGCGTGATGGGACACACCTGTGGTCCCAGCTACTCAGGTGGCTGAGGAAAGAGTATTGTTTCAGCCCAGAAGTTCAAGGCTGCAGTGAGCCACGATTGCACCACTGTATTCCAGCCAGGACAACAGAGTGAGACTCTGTCTTTAAAATTAAAAATGTTTAATGAGAAAAATGGTACTGTTTTACATTTTTACAAACCTCTTTCATGCCTGGCCTAATTGAAGCCAGTTGGATTCTATGTTTGACCTGTTGTGATATGTGTGTTTGGTTAAAATATAAGAAAATCAGCTGGGCACAGTGGCTCATGCCTATAATCTCAGCACTTCGGGAGGCTGAGGCGGGCGGATCACCTGAGATCAGGAGTTCAAGATCAGCCTGGCCAACATGGTGAAACCCCATCTCTACAAAAATACAAAAATTAGCCAGGCGTGATGGCAGGTGCCTGTAATCCCGGCTACTTGGGAGGTGGAGATTGCAGTGAGAGAAGATTGTGCCATCGCACTCCAGCCTGGGTGACAGAGTGAGACTCTGTCTCAAAATAATAATAATAATAATATATGAAGAAAATACTGCCTCACACAGATCAGTAGTTGGAAAGAGGAGGAATATTTTAATGTCCTTTTTCTGATCATTGTGGATGTTCTTTTTTGATACCAACACCAAACCTCAACAAATGGTAGTTTTCTGAAGGTTAGTTGGACAAAAAGAAAAGAAACAAGTGCATATGAAAACTAGTGAAATGCTACTGAGGGCTGTATTTGAATTAATAGAATTGTGCCCACATTGTTTTCCTGGTTTTGATCTGGTTGTGTAAGATACCGTCATTGCGGGGAGCTGGGTGAAGGATACATAGAACTCTCTATACTATTTTTGCAACTTCTTGTGAGTCTTCAGCTATCTCAAAATAAAAGTTATTTTGAAAAAGAAAAGGTTAGCTGCCATGTGGAATCTGAAATCATATCAATGAGCTTTCATGTCCTGATGCATTACAACACATTGACCTGTCTTGCACCCTGAATGAAACTTTTACCCAGGAGTGATTCTTAACATTTGCATTGTTGTTTGGAAAATAACAATTCACTGAATGATAGAGGTTTACAAATGTTCATCATTCCTTACCAAAATCACTTATTTATATCACTACCGATCTCATCAGAAAAGTCTTTAAAGATTGAATGGTGGCTCACACTTGTAATCCCAGCACTTTGGGAGGTTGGGGAAGCAGGAGGATCGCTTGAAGCCTGGAGTTTGCGACCAGCCTAGGCAATGTAGTGAGACCCCATCTCTTAAAAAAACTTTGAAAATTAGCCAGGTGCAGTGGTATGCACCTGTAGTCCCAACTACTCAGGAGGCTGAGGCAGGAGGACCACTTGAGCCCAGGAGTTCAAGGCTGCAATGAGTTAGGATTGCACCATTGCACTCCAGCCTGGGCAACAGAGTCTAAAAAACCTGTGAGGAAAAAAAATCTCACTATCCAAAACAGTCACTAACAGTTAGTGAATACAGTTCACTAAATGGAAGAAGCAGAGAGGATACACAGATGCATACATGAAAATCATATATATTTATAAATTATATATATACAAATATATTACTATTTTATGTATAAATAGATATAATTTTTAAATCCAAAGTAGTTATATAATTTTTAAATTTAACAGAAAAAGTGAAACCAAAGGAAAGGCTGCATTTTGGATGTTTCTTTTACAAGAAACATTCATAAAATATTCTTATAAAATTAAGAAAATTAATTTCTTATCTATTAAGAGAGCTGGTAGCTAGCAAAGAGAAAGGTTAGCTTCTCAGGCAGAGGATACACAAAACCTTGTTTTTTTTTTTTTTTCTTGTTTTTTTTTTTTTGTTGTTGAGACAGAGTCTCGCTTTGTCGCCCAGACTGGAGTGCAGTGGCCGGATCTCAGCTCACTGCAAGCTCCGCCTCCCGGGTTCACGCCATTCTCTTGCCTCAGCCTCCCGAGTAGCTGGGACTACAGACGCCCGCCACCTCGCCCAGCTAGGTTTTTGTATTTTTTTAGTAGAGACGGGGTTTCACCGTGTTAGCCAGGATGGTCTCGATCTCCTGACCTTGTGATCCGCCCGTCTCGGCCTCCCAAAGTGCTGGGATTACAGGCTTGAGCCACTGCGCCCGGCCAAAACCTTGTTTCAATATGGAAGGCTGATTGTCAACATCAAAGGAAGAGTTTCTGCCTCTTCATACCTATGACTATGGAATATTGGTAGGACAATTCAATGACAAGATTGATACTGTTTTAAAGTATTGTTTATGCTATATTTTAATTCTTCATTTGTGCTCAATGGAGCCCTGTGACTAAGTGGATATTTTTTTGTAACATCAATAACTTGATCAACTTTGACAATACAATCGTGTTTGGAGGGGAAAACACTAGAAGGATCATTACATGGTAAAATTGATTTTTCATCCACTCAGCCACTCTGTCTTTTGAGTGGAGAGTTTAATACATTTACATTTATTGTTATTATTGATAAGTAAAGACTTACTCCTGCCATATTACTTGTTTTCTGGTTGTTTTATGGTCTTCTTTCTTGCCTTCCTATCTTCCTTTAGTGAAGGTGATTTTCTCTGGTGATATGATTTAGTTTCTCAGTTTTTATTTTTTGTGTATCCATTGTATGCTTTCTGGTTTGAGGCTATGATGAGGCTTGCAGATACTATCTTATAATCCATTATTTTAAGCTAGTAACTGTAGTTTTTATTAGTCCTTTAACTAACTTATTTAAAAAGAACCAAGCAGAAATTCTGAAGCTGACTTTGTCCCCCTTAACTTTGTCCCCCTGCTTTTTAACTTTTTTGTTGTTTCTATTTATATCTTAATTGTATTGTCTGTCTTGAAGATTTGTCATTATTTTTTATTGGTTCATTTGTTTAGTCTTTCTACTTAGGATAAGAGTAATTTACACACCACAATTAGAGTGTTATTATATTCTGTGTTTTTCTATGTAATTACTATCACCAGTGAGTTTTGTACCTTCAAAGTGATTACTTATTGCTCATTGACACCCTTTTCTTTCTGACTGAAGTATTCCCTTCAGCATTTCTTGTAGTACAGGTCTAGTGTTGATGAAATCCCCCAGCTTTTGTCTGGGAAAGTTTATTTTTCCTTCATGTTTGAAGGATATTTTCACCAGATATACTATTCTAAGGTAGAAGTTTTTTTCTTCAGCACTTTAAGTATGTCATGCCACTCTCTCCTTGCCTGTAAGGTTTCCACTGAAAAGTCTGCTGCCAGACATATTGAAGCTCCATTATATATTCGTTTCTTTTATCTTGCTGCTTTTAGGATGCTTTCTTTGTCCTTGATCTTTGGGAGTTTGATTATTAAGTGCCTTGAGGTAGTCTTCTTTGGGTTAAATCTGCTTGGTGTTCTATAACCTGCTGGTACTTGGATATTGATATCTTTCTCCACGTTTGGGAAGTTCTCTGTTATTATCCCTTTGAATAAACTTTCTACCCCTGTCTCTGTACATCCTCTTAAAGGCCAATAACTCTTAGATTTGCCCATTTGAGGCTATTTTCTAGACCCTGTAGACATGCTTCATTGTTTGTTTATTCTTTTTTCTTTTGTCTCCTCTGATCACGTATTTTCAAATAGTCTGTCTTCAAGCTCATTAATTCTTCCTTCTGCTTGATCAGGTCTGTTATTAAAGGACTCTGATGCATTCTTCAGTATGCCAGTTGCATTTTTCAGCTCCAGAGTTTCTACTTGACTCTTCTTATTTCAATCTCTTTATTAAATTTATCTGATAGAATGCTGAATTCCTTCTCTGTGTTATCTTAAATTCATTGAGTTTCCTCAACACAACTATTTTGAATTCTTTGTCTGGAAGGTGACATATCTCTCGTTTCTCCATGATTGCTTCCTGGTGCCTTATTTAGGTCGTTTGGTGAGGTCATGTTTTCCTGGATGGTATTGATGCTAGTAAAGACCACAGTTACTTTTACACTAACCTAGTAGATGTTCTTCAGTGTCTGGGCATTGAAGAGGTAGACATTTCTTATAGTCTTCACTGTCTGAGCTCATTTGTACCCCTCCTTTGGAAGGCTTTCTGGGTATCTGAAGGGACTTTGTGTTGTGATCTATGCTCTATCAGCCTTAAGGAGCACCCCAAGCCCAGTAACACTGTGGTTCTTGAAGACCCATAAAGGTACCACCTTGATGGTCTTGAATAAGATCCAGGAGAACTCTGGATTACCAGGCAGAAGCTCTTGTTTTCGTCCCTTCCTTTCTCCCAAACAAATGGAGTCTCTCTGTTCCAAGCCACCTAAAGCTGGGGTGGAGTGACACAAGCACCTCAGTGGCCACATCACTGACTACACTGGGTCAGACCTGAAGCCAGCACAGCACTGGGTCTGTAGCCACTCCCTGGCTGCTGCCTACATTCACTCAATGCCCTGGGGCTCTGCAGTCTGCAGTTGGCAAAGCCAGCCAGGCCTGTATCTTTCTTTTCAGGGTGGTGAGTTCCCCCAGAC